GTGTGTGTGTGTACACGTGTTGTCAAAACGACACTCACCTGGTAGTGTGGCTGGATCGATTAGAGAGGCTTGGGAAAATGTCCACGATCGATCATGTTCGAAATAGCATTCGATCAGGGCGTGTTTGTCCCACTTGAAATGGTCTAACAACAATCGTAAATAGGTCGGCGAGACTTGAATAATCTGTCCAACCTCTTCCGTTATATCAGCCATGTGCTTGATCAGTTGTTCCGGACTGAGCATCTGGGAAAGAATGACGAAAGCAAGAGAAAGAGGGAGGGAGTGCAAGCATTATTGTAACTGCTTGTAAGTGGGTGAGAAAATTAAAACAATACATGCAGGTACATCACGCATTAGAAGCTTCTCCCTAAGCCTACCCCCCCCCATTGGATGAGCGAGAGTTCATTTTGGTTCAAAGTGATGTTCTCATGGAGAGCGTCCCGCATTTGCTAAGGAGATCCCACAGTTTGTTTACTTGTGGTGATAATGGTTATACCGGACTAAATGCAGCTAGATCTAGGCAAACTGAATAGTCTTGACTCCAAATCTCCCGGAAACAGGGGCATGAACTTGATCGGAAGCTCTCGGATTATAATAATCACCGGCTCGATTGGATGACGTCCTTGGAGGCACGATTCAGCTGACTGAATACCCGGCGCCGATGGAATGTGCTTTTCCAAACAGCCTGGCTACCTGACAGGTCAGGATTTAACGGAATACTTCGATTGTGAATCTGTAAGAAAATCATCTGCTTTGGTTTGGACTGGCTAACAGTGTCATGGTCGCTGATAAAACATGAGCAGGCTTTATTTACCAACAAGTGTTGAAACCATGATTCGTTCAACCGTCTGGAGCAAGACATGTTTGAAACAGATATAAAAAGCAAAACGAAGAATAAATTATTGTTCACACAGCACCCAAAAACGTTGGAGGGATATCTGACAAAACAAAGCAGATATCCCAACCTTTGTTTAACTCTTTATCTTCCGTACCCAACCATCTCCCTTTACCTGTTCTTCCGAACCGTAACATTCCCTCAAACAACTTGTTCGTCACTTGCTAAAGTTCGCCACCAAGTAGCCCGGTAAGTAGTTTACCACAAAATAGATTGCAGATTCCGAAGCCTCATCAGCCACCGAATCTGGGGGCCTTCAACTTGAGGACTCTGATGCAGGGAGGTCAACAAGCGTGTCTGGCGCATACAGTGGACTCTTTAGGGATTAATGTCTGCTGCTTGTCAGAGACTCGAATCCAGGATCCTAGTACTATAAGCCACTTAAGTGCACCGGGGTTGTCCTCGGGGTCTTTCCTCCGCACGTCAGGTGATGACGAAGCCCGTTCAGTAGGCCAGCGTGGTGTGGGCATAAAAATAATACACCTGAAGCATCACTAAAGAATTGGATCCCCGTCATGTGTGTGATGCGGCTCCAAGGGTCTATCAGTGTCCGGAAGGGAAGCAACACCAAGAGGTGTTTGTTTACCATTTTAGGGTATGCACCGACCAACTGCAGTTCTGACGCACAAAAGCACGAGTTTTATGATAAACTCACCGAACTCTTATCGGGTGATCCGAAGCTCCGATATAGTTATTCTCGCAGGTGATTTTAACGCTCAAGTTGGAAAACTGAGCGCATCGGAAGCTTGACTAGGCGGTCATTGTGCTCTACCCTGCCAGCGAACAAATAATGGCGATCGACTTCTTCAGTTCTGCGCAGACCATTGTCTGTTTCTATCCAGCACCAACCTCTGACACAGCTCCCGACGGACAGCAACGTGGCGCTCAAATTCAACTGGCACACTAACTCAGATGGACCACATAGCAGTAAGCTACCGTTGGTGTGGCTCAGTACAAAACTGCAGGTCCTATGGAATCACCTGCTTTGAATCTGATCATGCGTTAGTTTTGATGCAGTTCACTCTCCAACTCACTGGTCACAAAAAACCCACCAAACACGGTTGGCAGATCATCGCTTACCTGACTCAGTCGCTCGTCCCGTTTTGAATCAGAACTAGGGCAAGAGCTAAACGCACTAGGGGGATGGTAGTGTAAATGAACAATGGGATCAGATTAGTCGAGCAATGAACTCTGCAGCGAAGGTTGCTTGTGGATCTGAAGCGGTAGCCCGACCGAGGCATTGGATATCTGATGAGTCAGTAGCACTGATGGAGAAAAAGCGGCAAATCCCGACCGCCCGGGATCAAGGCAGGGATAGGTGGCGTCTGCAACGTCAACTCAAGAAGAACCTCAAGAAAGATCATGAGAACTGGTGGGCAACGATAATGAAATGAAAGTAGCTGCTGCATCAGGGAATAATCGAAGACTGTTTCAACGGATACGCAATACGGGAGGTCGGCGAACCGCAGTTAGTGAAACAATCTAAGACAAAAGCGGACAAGCTTTTCACAATAGGGGACAACAACTTGCGCGGTGGGCGGAGTACTTCAACGAACAGTTCAGCTGGCCAGGCTATCTCTTTCAATGGTAGAAGGCATCCATCGCCTAGTGGTTTTCGCCTATCGATGCTTACGTAGTCTGGCCCAAGTGGGATGGAGTGGAGACACTGATGGTCATGGCTGCGAACCGACATCAATGGCGATCATGCTGTCACTTCTTATCAGAATACAATGCTTGAAAGTGTATGTATGCACAGCTGAACTGTGTACTCGGTATGTTGACCATAGAGGTTCACTTTCTTTTCCCGTCCATCAAAGTAAGTCCAATCCCTATCCTCCCTACACATTCTTACTTTTCTTGTATGCACTATGAGTTTGGCAGCAATCAGTGAAGTTCGCTTCACTGTATTACGCTGTACAATGATGATGATGATGATGATGAGAGATAGAAAGTAAGCATGGTTGTCTAAATGTAAGTGATGGACCTCAAAATATAGCTGAGGAGTGTTGCGCGTGTGCTTGGATAGATTTCATCGGTGTTTACGGTTGTTATTAACAATTTATCCTCTCCCCCCACCCTAGTGGGGCGTTATCTTGATCCACAGCTTCCCGTTCGAACTTAATATCGATCAGTATGAAGTTTATTTTCGATTATGCAGTCATATCTGATGTGTGAACTTGGATGGTGGGGTATGACACCGCTGCCAGATTGTTATTATGTCCCTGTGCTTCAGTAGCGAATTAGCACACCGGACTATGCTAGATGCACCAACTCGTGTTTTTAACTTCATTCTCGTATACAGTACGTAGCAAGGAACAAGCGAGGATAATATCACACTAATGAATAGGAAATTCCGGAGTAATTCACATTTGCATGGGCATTAATTTTTTACTTCCATAAATTGCTCCGTTTCTGTCTTTTGACCGATCGATGCAGATAGGAAGCGAAATTAAGCGGAGAGCAGCATCAAGCGGGACCACGTGAAGTGGCTTTCGAAATGATCCCAGTCGAAAGAAAGTAGATGCAAGGTCATCAAAGTTTCAGAAAATCAGTGTCTCTAAATATTGACTAGGTTGACCACGTGATCCTCAACCAGGAAGCTGAACCAATGATTCTGATCAGAGTTTTCATTCCCTTCTACCAGGTGATGATTTAACCGCGGTTGACCTCCTTTTAAGTACCACCTACTGCGACAAACATTACACGCTGATGAAACCCATATGGTGATATGGGTAACACATACTCCAGCCACCGCGCTCGAGACTAACTTTAACCTTTTGCCTGACCTGAATATTTATCATCTGATAGTTTCGCCAGACTCGTGCAATTAGGTGCAGACAGTAGTGCTTAAACACCTATAGCCTGCGCTTATTTATTATCTCTGCACCAAGCAGCAGCACCCGTCAAACTGTAAAACACTCGGTCCCCGATAGTCAGTCGGATTTTACGGAGATTGGAAAGATGTTTGAGCGTGTGCATTTGCGTGTGAAATAGATACATAGATACATACACAATAGATACGTACCCCGAAACATGTGATGGCGAAGAAATTTCAGCACCAGTGTAAATATAAAATACCTTGCGAACCATGCACATTTGTAACGATGGTATAACGATTACCGAAGAGAAACATCTATTCAATACATGTCTTTTGGGGAATCGAACGGACACACATTAGGAAACACGTACCTCATAGCCAACCGTTTCGTCCTCTCGGGATTCCAGTGTGTTGTAANCCAGATTGACCATTGCATCACTCGTGTCTGACCCATCCACGGAAACACTATCCTCGTCGTCCAGCGAGGGGATAGAGCCCTCTGGATTCAAATCGTTTTCATCCATGGCTGCGAATGAGTGCGTGACAGATTGGAGGACTCAAAGAAAACAGTGTCTACTAGACACTGCGACGGTTTGTGGGAAGGGGTGGGGTGAGGAACCTGTATTAGGATGCGAGTGTAAAGGAAAAGAAATAATAACAATGATAATGATAATCTTTGACTTCAGTTTAGTTGGCAAACAAATTTAAAGTCCTGCTATGAACTGATTGATACAAGATTAACACACGTATCTTCCACTTATTCTATCGCACACTTTGGTGTGATGAACAGTGGACGAGCGAAGCCCCATAGTCACGAGAACCTGATGTTCAATGATGGAAACCGGTAGCCCAAGTCCCAGGACTTGGAGTGGCAAACCACAAATGGCCCTGATAGGCTGTGTGCGATATTGAACAAGACAAAAGCAAAGCGGCCTAACACTAAAGTTGGGTGGCGGTGGCGAGGCTCGAACCTCGGACCATAGAGTCCAAAGCACCCTGGTGACAGCAACTAAACCACTGCACCACCACCACGATAGGTTTGGAGTTCAAATTCCGGAAAGGAAGGTGAATAGGCACTACTGATGAGCTCCAACAAGAGCTCTAATCGCAAGTCAATGTGTCGTAAAAATTCTTGCTACAAAAGATTTGGTCGATTCAGTGTTGGAAACATGCGACGCCGTTGGTCACATCGACGAAATTGGAAAAAGTAACTACATTTTTTGAACGCAGTTTACGGTTTTTCTTTGTCGATATCAGAAGTTGGTGGAAACCGCTTTAACCTGAGGTGTACAGTGTACTTCGTGCAGTGAAATCCTTTTCATCCCCTTGAAAAGTCGGAATAAGTATTCAGGTAGTTAACGTGACTGACATTCGAACAGGCGATTACTAGTCACCATGTGAATGATGTTCGCCATCAAAAGCTTCTGCGCCTATGAGGATATTGAATATTCGATAACCTCGTCATGTAAAAGATAGTTAACCTCAGAATATTATCATCATAAGGGGAAGTGGTATGATAGGCGATATGAAAAAAAGAATGACGTACGACACTTTCTCGATGTGCGATTTAGTATCATCCGGTTTGCGTTTGCTTACACTACCCCTCTTTACATGAGCTTTGTAAGCGACACAGATCCACAAATGGGACGATTAGACTCTCAGCGTATATTCCTATCGTTCACCCAACCTATAATCCGTTTTCGTTTTTGTTTTTGATAAAGATTGTTGTATCATAATCAGTTTGGCACAGTCTGAATTCAGACGCGTGATATATATATATATATATAATTTGCTGGCCTCCACGCGGTTTTCTCTGGTCTGCAACAGTCACTGCAAATAACGCGCGGTGCGGTAAGCGACCGTTACACATATGCAAAATGTCCTAAGAGACGGATCCATTTAAGCTGAATTTGATGTGCTAGAGTTCGTGTTCATTGCATTTTCAAATACTCGACGACTTACTTCTAAGTTAATAACTTGCTCTCTACATCCCAATTCGACCAGACTGCGTAAGCATCGATTGTTGAAAACCACTAGGCGACACGTCTTCTATCCAAAAATTAAAGGTCTCATCCGTAAAGCAGAATTGATTGCACAGTGGCTCAGTATATGCGACTTTTCGACTTCAGTGAAGGTGCAAAGTGCATGCCGAATGGAACAACAGAACTCACTAGTCTCTGAAGTACGCGTAGTGCATCCTCCACAGATTCTAAAAGACAAACAGTCTTCAGTGTATTTCAGACCGCACAGCTTTTCTCGGGCTGCCTATTCAATACCTACATTTTGGAGACTATTCCGTGCGTTCTCCAGTATTTCGTCTACGACAAAATTGAACAAGAATGGTGAAATGGGGCACCCTTGACGAACTTCGCTGCTAGTTTCGACGGACATATTCAGCTCGACATAGACCCTTACGCTACTAGAAATACACGAGTAGAGTGAACTCAGTATGTTCACATACTTCTGTGGAGCGAACCCATAAGGGATTCGTGATCAACTGAGGCGAAAGCTCCTTTTAGCTCCTTTAGGAACACGACAACCGTTGGTCGACGGTGCGTATGGCGTAGCTCGAGGACTTGACGCAGCGGTCGATACAACAGCGACCTGGTCGAAATCCTGCTTGTTGTTCGCGGATATTCATCTCCCTAAACGGTGTCAGACGTTGAAGTATGATGGAGGCTAATATCTTGGTAACGATTGGGATCAAACTTATTCCATGGTGATTTGCGCAGCCGTTGTGAGATCCCTTCTTAAAAATTGGAATATCAGTGATTCGCTCCAGGATGACAGAATGCGCTCTTGTGGCCAGATGTTACGCATTAAATCAGTAATGAAATCTAAGAGGTCACTGCCCCCCCCCCCATTTTGAAGAGTGGGAGGAAGACTCTCCGGTCCTGCTGCTTTTCGGCTTGTATGCAAGATCTTACGTCTGTTTCGGTAGGAGGTTCACATGAAACTTCCCACGGAGGCTCAACCACAACAGAGACTGTCTGGTTAGCGCCAGGCCAGCAGAACTGTTCAATGAAATATGCTGTCTACCGGTCAATCCGTTGTTCCTTACTGTGAATAGCTTGACCGTTCTTATCGCAAATTGTTTGACTAACTGGAATTCTCTGACCTGTATTGCGCATCAGTCGAAACAGTCTTTGACTATTCCCTGGTTCAGCTACTAATTCCATTTTACTAGCTACAGTTGCGTACCATTTTGCATGGTATTTCTTGAGGCTGTTCGCGAGCTGATGTTGCAGACGCCACCTCAGTTACCTTTCCCATTTTCATAGCCATTAACCATGCATTTTTATGCGCCGGTTTAGGTTTTTTCATTACACAATGTGAATTACAGTAAACAGGGAAATCCTCATGGACAAACAGCACACTGTAAAAAGGAGAGTAGGGCAACATTCACATAAGAGCCAATTTATTGATTCGGTGTTTAAAAACTGTAAGACTGTAATTTGGGGGGAAAACAACAAAGGTGTTCCACAGTTTGGCAGTTCGGGCGGTAAAAAGAAGATTGGAGTAGAGGTACAACACCTGGGAACAGAAACCTGATAAGGATGACTAGATGCCTGTGTACGGGATGGGCGGGTATAAGTTGCAGGAAGAGGAACTGCTGAGGTCACCATCGGTGTTGGTTCGGGCATGGCGAGCAGTGCGGTAGAAGAGGGAGCAGTGGAAGGTGGCGTCATCAGCAAAAGAATGGACCAGGTTAGTAGTTTGGGAAAGGAGATCATTGATAAATGGAAGGAAGAGGGTGGGCGCAAGTACTGAACCTTGGGGAACACTAGCGTTCACAGGAATGGCTGAGACAGAACCCCATCAACTTGGACGGAGATGGTTCGTTTACTGAGGAAACTTGATATCCACGCTACAAGCACTAGAGGGAACCCGAACATGGATAGTTTCGCCAGTAGACCTTCGTGCCAAGATCGGTCGAAGGCCTCTGAGATGTCAAGCCAGACCAAGTGTGTTTCCCCGTGGTTATCGAGTGGAGCTGACCAGGATTGTGAGACAAGAGCCAGAAGGTCACCGGTGGAACGACGCGGTCGAAAGCCATACTGGCGGTCACTCAGTCACTCACTTCACGTTCAAAGAACGTGCGTGGCTGGTCAGAGATGACAGTTTCAAATACTTTCGAAATAACAGATGTGAAGGAATTGGGTCGGTAACTGTTGGGGTTAGAAAGGTCGCCGCGTTTGGGAATGGGAAAAATCACTGCGTGCTTCCAGAGGGTTGGAGAGGAAGAAAGTTGGAGGGAAAGACCTAAAAGACGATGTAAAACAGGAGTCAGCTCAGGAGCACACATTTTGAGGATGATGAATGGAATACCGTCCGGACCGGGTGGTTTGTTAGCGTCTAGAGTGCGCAATGTTTGACGGATTTTCCTAGTGCTGATATGAGGTATAAAAAGGTTGCCAGTGAAGAAGGAAGGTGGTGTAGAAAAATGGGATAAGGTGGAATTGGTGGTAAACGGGGAGGCAAAAACCTCAGCTTTCTCGTTTGGTTGACATACAAGATTACCAGAGGAATTGCAGATAGGGGGAAGTTGGAAGGGCAGAAATTACGGGAAATTGCTTTGGCAAGGGGCCAAAATGTTCAGCTACCGATGGTGGACGAGACCAGATTTTCGGCTTTACGGCGAGCGAAGTATTCTTTGGTTATTTGAATGGTCGTCAAGCCTCTGTTCCCAGCGATGGTGGGAGAGGGGGGTGGGCGAGCGGCACCAGCGGCGGAAAGCTGGTAGTTTCAGGCGTACATCACGGTCACATGCATGGTTAAACCACTCAGGGGATTGGGTTTGCCGGAATTGGAAAAGTGCAGAATAAAAAGATGCATACCTTGAAGAACAACGTGGGTGAAGTTGGTAACGGACTTGGAAACATCCGAAAAGAGACAACAATCATTTCAGGGATAAACAGCTAGGAAATCAAGGAAAGCGTCCCAGTTGGCTGAGTTGTAGCGCCAGAATGTGTGTCTCGAGGTGGGTGATGGCTCGGAGTTTGAAAACCTAATAGAACAAGAAACAATACAATGATCTGATGAACCAAGAGGAGGAAGGGTACCAATATCTGAGAAGAAAGAAGGGGCCGAAGTGAGAATTAGATCGAGGGTGTGGGCACGATCACCAGCTCGATCAGGGGCACGTGTGGGGAAGTCAACTAGTTGGCTCAGGTTGTTGACCAAAGCGGTGTTTGGCAGTAGCAGATGAATGTGCCAACCAGTCCGGATTAGGAACGTTAAAATCTCCCAAGATGGTAACATGGCAGTTGGGGTCGGTTGCGAACAAATGTTCAATGTTCGAAGACAGAAAATCAAAGATGGA